ATCGGGTTTAATACTGAGAATTCAGTGTTTCTGAATCTTTCTTATTTTACACTTTTATAGCTCAATGGGCTTTTTTAACGTTGATTCCAGTTGATTTAAAAATTTTCTATTTTTGGATGTAATAATTTATTCACTCTGAAAAATATGCAAGTGCTCTTTTCTTTAAAATTCTTGACGAAGATATTCAGTGTAAATTCTTTGGAATTCTAAAGCCGGAATATTATTCTTGATTCATAAAATTCAACAAGGAACTGTTGACGCATCAACACAAGGTAGATTATAGAAGACGTTATCGCTTTCCATATTGGAAATTCACCGGGATTCAAACTTGGATTTATTTAGAACGTTTTAGTGATATGACTTTTATTTTTAGATTCCAGGATTATTTTTGGAATATATTCACAAACTGTAAGTCCTCTTTCATATTTTCCCTTGTTTTCTACAACAGCCCAGTTATTGGAAAAGTGAAGCTGCTTTTCAAACGTTAGCGAATGCAGCAAAGATCACTTACGGGGCTGCTCGAGTATGTTTGGTCAAACAGGCAATGTGGAAAATTTATCTACTAGCACCAAGGAAAATTGTTCATGGGTGGTTGGATGACAAAACACTAGCGAAATTCATCAAGTTAATGATTGGGGGTCACTTTCATGTATACGGTAAGTATTGTGGATGTTGCCTGAAGATTCAATGAAGTCGAACCGTTGACATCCAAAGATTCAGCGAGTATTGCAAGTGAGCTTAAAAGTGTTAATGCAGGTTTTCCGTTAACATGTTCACGGCTGTTGACAATGGATCCATGAAAAATGTTATTCTGAGCCGTAGCTAATTTGTTAACAAAATATAAGGTGTGGGTTTGTATTGGGCATGCTAACACACGTGGGGATCAAGCTCTTGTGGAACAATTTACCAGCACACTTGCGAAATAGTGCAGAAAGTATTCACCGGATTGCAGAACGATTACATAAGTTGGTAACACGAACTTCTAATGACACTACGCACGCAATTGTGTTACGTATTCGATTACTTTTGAAAAAGGCTGTCAACGTTATATATAAAATAAACCACCACCATTAGATTCATTCAGAAACAATTTTGTTCGGTATCTGTAAGCACTTGTGGAGTTAGTAGGAGAACAACTTCGTGTTAATGACCCCATTTGGGTCAAAGAGGTATTTACGATCTCAGACCGGGTTGTTACTCCGAGGCACCCAAGAGTTACCATTGGACACTTGTGGATTAATAAGCGGAGAAATCTAATAGTAGAACATTTGAGCAAGAGTAATTGCAAATTCTTCCCGTTTAAGAATGCGCAAGTAGTGACTATATCAAGAAATAGCCAGCATTTGATGTCTAGCAGTGGCTTTTGTGTGGAGATTCGTATTCACTTAAATATTAAACACCATCCATACGCTCTGACAAAACTATACCACCCAATGAATCCGTGACATACGCATGCATAATCGCTGATATCAATACCAATACGTATATGGACTAAATAGTTCCTTTTACTTCCCAGGTTTGGTACTAGCTTAGTACATTCTTTATGTTTGCGTCCAGTATCGTTTATAATCTCACACTGACACAAGAAGAGTTAAAAGTAGGAAAGCATCAGCGCTTGGTGTTGGCGGATAATTATTGTGGCTGCTTTAAAGCTTGTATAGGTATTCCAGGTCAATTTCAGAAAATACCGGATATCCGTGGTACTGTTGTACTTATGAATGTTAATGCTCTTCGGATTGACACGCTGACACCCACCAATAGGCATGGACTGCATTATTCCTGATTCATAAAGATTGTGAGCGTCAAGATATATGACGTAAATGTTTGGTACAGCGGAGCCACATCCGTCCATTTTTTTTTGGCCTGTTGGCCTGTGATCGACATGGAGATACAGCTACTCAAACGGCGATTAAAAACAGATGCTGATCTATGTCGGTGAATAATTCCAACTGCATTTAGACAGCAGCGCATCCCAAGCCGGAATGGCGTACGCGTGCGGAATAGTCCTTGTATGCATGCATGTCGATATCACGGAACAGTTCAAAGACGTCTGCGAGCGGAAGCGTGTAGATTCAAATCATGATACACAGCAAGATTCTGGCAATCAAACGTAGACCAGATTTTATTTGCATGTACATAGTTGTTGGTGGCAATACCGTCGCGAAACAACGATGAATGGAATGGCGGTTACGGTGGTAATTTGAATTTCAGTAAACATTTCCCATTCGTTCATAACAGGATCAGCGGTACCATATTGACTAATGGTTGAGAAATAATCATTGCCACTGTTACTGACTACCCTGACCAGATTGGATATCCATCTCTGCAGCGAGTATGTGAACTTCAGCTGACCCATCCTAATCGTCATGTATTTTCCAAGTTGTTCTGGATTACGCTAATTGGCACCTTTAATGTTGTGGTGAATCTGCAGATTCAGGTAGTCATCATACCTACGCAGGTTCTGATGCACTGAACTACCATAGGGATGTTTTGTTTGGGCGATTCACAGCTTTACATTGGAGGTTCTTTTGGGTTTTTTATGTGATTTATACAAGTCCTACTACATGTCCCGATAAAAGCCTGATACTAGATTAAATTCTCAGGATTTATGACCAAAAGTTGTACAAGGCCTGCAGTAGCTATCGGTAATGAGGCATACTAAACATCAAAACTGAGAACAAACTGAAAATTATTTTCCGTCAGCCCTCAACAGAAAGTTACTTTTTGCAGAATTTAATTTTTGTTGACATTTTTCCTGTCCTCATACTTACTATGCCTGTATATTATCCTTTGTAAAGTGTTGATCCATACATATTGGTATATCAATTGTGGACTGCAACAATAACATATCAACATTAAACTTTCTGCAAATGTATATGGTTACTGAATGGGCTGCAGACCTTTGATCCAAACAAATGTATTAACAGCTATGACAACATTAAGTCGTCCAAACTTACTAATATCATTAATCTGTATCGGAAAATGGGGTTACCAAACAAAGATCATCAAAATACGGATGGTCTTTGTTATCGCTAATGGAATAAAATACAGACAAGAGCGTCCATTCAAAATATCTATCCTCGTGGTTATTTGTTTTACTATAGCATGCCATGGAATAAATGACAGCAAAAAATATAATTTGACCAACTAATCGGATTCAACGTGGGAATATGCAGCTGAACTTCATCCTGATCATGCATTGGTGAATTTTTCCAACATCTCAGTAATCTTTGTCTAATCCAACTTTATGGATCTCAGCGTCGTTACAGTTCAGGATTACACCGTTGTCAATCCACGGATTTATGTTTTTCACTGCATCTTAATCAAGTACACATGTGAAGAATAATTTCCTTCTTAACTGCTCAGGTACCTGTGCGCTGTAATATTGATATGATTCCTGGACGTATATTTCAAAGAAATTGCTTCTTTACGTGGCTACAATTCCACTGGAACAATTATTCGATAATCTTGTAAATGACAATGACGTCTGTGTAACTCAGACTCGGGGACTTGTAAGTGTCGTGCTTTTGCGGTAGCCTCAGTAGTAATGGTAATTGGAATACGGACACTACGTCCTTCTCCGTCACCAAGCTACCTGCGATTTTCTGCCGGCTTGACTGGTGTACGAACCTTGATATAATAATTGCTGAGATCACGCAAATTTGTTGTACAGGTAACCGTGGCAAACTCTAGAAATTTCTAACATTACAATTATGTCAGCTTCTGGCATACCGTCTCTGGCGAACTGTCTAAATTTGAATCACATTTGGATTGCATGTATATATTAGGAAAGCCATTGTTTAATTGATATATTTATTAGTATTTGTCTTTACTTTAGCAGGATCAGAAACTATAATCACGATTCTTTCATTGACTTCTCTGTGTACTACCTCAACGGGGTCTGGGATATCTAAAATCATAGGTTCGGCGAATCTTTGAATTCGCACGCGATAATATTCCTAAACAGATCCGTTCGGCCGGAAAAGGTTACTACGCACACTTAAGACATAATAACGCATTTAAACCAACATGTAGCGCAAGCAAAAATATGATTTAAAGTGTTCATAATAGCATGTCCTGCCGCATAGTTCAAGTTTTCCATGACATACACCTTTACACTGATTGCTTCGCAATGCCAACGAGCTTTTTACATATTCGAACTTTTATTTATATTGTAAATGTATGGGTGCGCAGTCTGAATAAACGGTAAGAAACAAATCAAGAAACTTGTGCAAAATGTGCCTTAAGTCGCCATCCGTCCAAATATGTTCAAATGATCCATTGCTAAGGACTAAACCAGCCATCATTTTTGCCGTTAGCTGCGTCATATCCGATAATTCTAAACGTTTTGGATTGTTTGTATATCTGAGATATGGTTTTGCTTTTTTGAATTTGGAAAGAGGTTCATAAAGTCTCACCCATTTTATATCATTATTTTGATGCTGAAATTAACATTCTAATTCTGATGATCGTTGCATCTATCATCGCTGTTGGGGTACTCAGTCTTCGTCGCTAGGTTAACTCATTCGCAACTCATGTAACTCAGTCTTCGTCGCTAGGTTAACTCATTCGCAACTCATGTAACGTCAACGGTTTGATGGCTTACTCCACAATATAAAAAATAACTTGCACACTTTGTGTTATATTCTGCGCCAAGTTTCCTTCGTTGACACATTTCACATACTTAACAAGCAAATAAAAAATGAACTTTACACTTGATGTTTACATGACGATGGAATACAAATGCGATCGAATTTTCCATATATTAAGCTGATGTGAATAACTACGCCATTTAGAAATATTATTCAATGGCTTATTATATATATATATATATATATATATATATATATATATATATATATATATATATATATATATATATATATATATATATTAGCATGATCATTTAGTCTTATATTGATGATTCGGTGAATTGAATTATGTCAATGATATAAGAAAAAGTTGCATCATTTCTGGCACTTCGATGTCTTCGAAGCTTTGGTGGCTTAGTGGTTAGAGCGTCCGCCTCGAATGCGGGAGGTCGTGGGTTCGATCCCCGGTAGCGATATGACTGAAAAGTTGTTACAAGCTACGTTAAAAATTATAAACACCAACACTGTCTTCGAAGCAAGGCATTGAACACTATGTTCTTTGAATCACATATTTTGTTACTTCTCTATCTAAATAACTTTTGCCTCATTATATTTTGTGCCCAATGATTAGGACCCCTTTTGTAAACCCTGAGCACTTTTCTAACATCTACTGACATGTTCGACCATATTGTTCATAGAGTTTGCTCAAAACTTTGTGAAATGTTCAGAATGATTTTTACTGAATCATTACAGCTTGGCTTATATTCATAGATGTTAGAAACAAAGGTCCTTGTGGCGCTCCGTGTTACCCGGGTCTCATTGTATTCGAGGATTTTCAAACTGTTAAACTTGTTCTCGCTTGATTTTTGAATAAATTGTAAAATTGATTATGTTAATGCGTCGTCTTTTTCTTTGGGCAAATATGAGAAAATCAAATCAGTCAACAACAAAGAAATGTTTTCTAAACTCTCTTTCTGGTGATATTTATATAGCCCATATGTATATTTTTCAAAGACACCTTATTGATAGGAGTGTGTGTGTGTGTGTGTGTGTGTGTGTGTGTGTGTGTGTGCGCGCTTTGGATTTTTAACGTAGCTTTATCAATTTTTTAGTCATATCGTTACGATGTCTGCAGTGTGGCGGTTTATAGTAATGTCTTAGCACTGGAGAATCATGCCACAGACATGTAGCATGATGTTCCACCCAGTCACATTATTCTGATACCAGGCCGACCAGTCCTAACACTAACCTCTTAATGCTGAGCGCCAAGTGAGACAGCTGTTAGTACCATCTTTAGAAGTCTTTGGTGTGATACGGCCAGGGTTTGAACCCGCAACTTCTCGCATCCCATGCCACCGGGGCATTCGATAGTAATATGCAAAACGAGTAAAGTTTTTCATTTTCAGAGAAAAATGCCATTTCCATTATTACTACATAAAGTTACATAACCATTTGAAAGACCCGATATGGGAGAGGATGTTTTGCTTGCTCTTCACGATGACATTTTCAGACTGGTTGCTTGCACCATCAACAATTTTACCTGGCGAATGTATCCATACAGATCGTTAAATTTAAATTCTCCCTAGCATCTGTATTTATCCATGTATTTGTCATTCTAGCAACTAAATATGTATACTTGCTGCTTATATCCCCTCACAAAGAATACTTAGGTATAAGTGTTACTTAAAGGATTACATGCATAGCATACGCGCATGCATGCATACATGTATACATACTCTCCAGCAGGCAAGCATGCTGACTGAAGGAAAGACAGGAAATTGGATAATTGTACACTGACTGTCTAAAGAAAATTAACATTTTTTTCCGTGATGTAACTCAGTTAAAGTTAACTCATTTTATTTCTTTGAAGAGGAATTGCAGCCAGCAACCACCCACCCATATGCTATGGAAACTAGTAGGACTTTAATATTCCATAATAACGGTGAATGCAATATGCGAGCACTCATGTATACAATGTATTTATGACTGTACAGACTGTTTATTGAGCCTAGCGATGTTTACCGTGAATAAAAATGGGCGAGCCCGCGATGCATGTTGTCATACTACCATGGCAAAGCGAAGAAACAACTTGTCTTGTTTGATAAGCAGCTCACATCTATGTGTTTCACATCTCTTGATCTATCGTGTGGAGAAATAATGAAGGTTAGATAGAGATCGATGAGTTCATTTTGATGAGCGTGTCTGACCTCAAACTTTTTGTGCACGTGTTTAATTTTGCAATAACAAAAAAGTGACAGATTTAATAAACAGATGTTCAAGGTCTATAATAGACTATTTGAAAGTTGAATACACTTATGTCTTTCTTTAATATCTTAAGACAAAGCAGTATGAGTATTTGGGAATATATTTTCACAAATTTGTTGAGTTTAAACATGAATTGTATTTTTATTACAATATCTAAAACAGAGAAGAAAACAACTTTTATTGGCATACACATACATAATTCGATATAATAGATTTATGAAGGTTTCATATTTTTTCATGTTTCATCCGTTGTATTAAGTAACATTTGCTGCAACGTCTATTATCGGGTATACTCTCTCTCTCTCTCTCTCTCTCTCTCTCTCTCTCTCTCTCTCTCTCTCTCTCTCTCTCTCTCTCTCTCTCTCACACACACACACACACACACACACACACACACACAATATTGTGTTAATGACAGAACTTTTTTCCGTAAATACCACTGACTTATTAATGTCTTAATAATGCATGTCTGTAACTGTTCACACAACAGAAGATTTAGATTGCTTTCACTTTCACCGATATTGTTCATTTTTATTCAATAACAATGAACGGCGGTGATAACATTTTGTGTTTTACATGAAACAATTTACATCAAATTGCAGTTTATTTTCCTCTCACCTCTTCATGGACGTGTCCGCCAATAACATGGAGACTTATGTACAGTTGTGATAATTGCACTCTGATTGCTGTATAATAGGTAATGTAGATGCTGGTGTTTGTGTAGCAAATGATTGATGATGGTTAAATTAAAAATATTCTATTAAATGTGTTTATCTTTCCATAAAAGATGTCACTTGGTTTAAATTTTCAGTCCAGAGTTCACCATCGATCGATATTCATGATCCTGCTGTGATATTGGAAGTATACCTGAATGAGAAGACTGCTGTTAAAACCATTCCGTTCTGCCACAAGATTTGAATAAGTCTTTAGGTGATAAAAAATTCGGAGATTCTGTGCCACCTAGCGACGTGTGTCTTGACAGTAAATATTTAATGCGTCATTCACAAAATACAGTTTGATAATATATTGCTCAGGTTTGCAAACAGGATTTTGTTGTTTACAGAGTTTGCAAGTTATGTAAGTAACGTTTCTTTCCTCTGCATATATACAAGTGTAGAGATGACTAGTTTGGAAGTAATGTAAGTAAAGTTTATTTCCACTGCATAAACGCATGTGTACTAGTTTGAAAGATATTTAATTCAATAATAATTTAAGCGCAAATTACATATCGTATAATGGTTTTATTTTTTATTTTTGCTTTTCAGGTTTAATTCTTGTATGAATAGTGAGTTTTGTGCAACAAATTTATCGTAGGCTTTCATGAATGTGTGTATTTTTTCTGACCGAGGTTCAGGTTCTATTCATATAAAATTTGCCATTGTTTTTGCTTAATACATTTATGTTGATATATTCAGTCTATTACAATCTAAACTAATCAAAGACAGATACATAAAATGAAATGAAATAAGATGATAAAACAATTGCATTCATATTTTCGTTGTATGGAATAAGTGACTCATATTTTGTAGTTGAGGATGTGGAGTGGGGGTGTGGGGGTTAGGTAAGATTGCCATATATATATATATATATATATATATATATATATATATATATATATATATATATATATATATATATATATATATATATATATATATACACAACAGACTCGCGGACCTGGGTTCGAAACTCGGTAGAGTACAAATTTAATTTCTCTAACCTGTATGATAGTATTGTTTGTATTAAACTATTATTTCTGCCAACTATTATCAAGATTCTACTACAGAATCCAGGGACAATACGAAATTAGTAACTAACTAGCCTAAGCGCTTTCGACTCTTAATGAGTCTTTTTCAAAGGCAAATACAAAACATATATACGATAAACAAATAAACACAAAAACGTTGTGTTTGTAAAACTCTACATGGCTGTCTTCACATGTACTAAAACTATAAATGCAACCAGCTTGTATAGACTAGATGCGGAAACTGAAAACGTTGTATAATTCCCTAAAAGTCTACAAGCCAAAGCGACATCTATTTTTACTTTTTGTACATATGTAACGCAGATTATATCCCGGATATTTGATTCTATACCGGTTATTCTTATAGTAATAATTGAAGGATAACAAGAAGATTTAGAAAATGTTAAATTTTACTAGTGCATAGTTTTCATTTTCTAGTCTTCTTGGTTTAGACCGCTTGGTTTCAATGTTCTAAGGCGGCGTATCCAGTATGATTCCTTTTCCTTCCTGGTTTCGGAACTCCAGCTGTGGTTGTTAGCAATAGCGATAAGTATTATATCACTGAAAGTGTGGCCAGGGGAGGAGAAGTCTTCTGCGACCGGGCTTCTGTACAGCTTTTTTGTCATCCAATCAGATCTATGAAGGTTTATCCTTTTGTGTAGCTTTTCAGTTTCTCCGGCGTACTGAAGGCCACAGATCTTACAAGTGATGAGACAAATCACATTCTCTGTTTTTTACGTTTTGTTTGGACCATGTATGTTTAGTTTTTCTTTAGTCACTGTGCTAGTGAATGTCTTGGTCTCTATCATATGTTGACAGGTTTTGCATCTTTTATCGCCACAGGGTCCAGATTGACTAGGTTGGTTTTGACTAGCGATTGGCGTTAGCTTTGCCCTGACTAGGATCCTATATATATATATATATATATATATATATATATATATATATATATATATATATATATATATATATATATATATATATATATATATATATATATATATATATATATATATATATATATATATAATGATAATCGATTTAGTCATAGTCTGTGTGTGCGTATCTGCGCACGTGCCAAATTTTCCACAAAATAATAATATTTAATGCTGTTTAATTATTTGTAAATAACAAGTGAAAGATTAGCTAGTATGCACCAAAATAGTAATAGAAACAGGTTTTTAATGTTTATCGTTTTGATTCGACGTTTTACGGCACAGCAACACAAGCTGGTTATTGACTGCCTAGGCAACTGGAGTAGAGTGCCTTGTCCGAGGATACACCATGATAAATTGACCAAGACTGATCTTATGGTAGAACTTGCACCCCTTCATCGTGATTTTAGAATGCTGACCGCTGAGTGAGTCACCGCTGCTTAAGTCTATATTATTCAACTCTTACTTTATGCAGGACATGCATCAGGCCTATTAGACATGCGCGAGACAGCAGGAAATTCAAAAGGAACGC